ATTAGTCGCCGGAGGAGCTCAAGTGTCATTAATCATAACTATCTTAACATAGCTTATTCTACATTACTATACCCTACCTTACCCTACCCTACCCTATTTTCTTCTATACTACTCTACTTTATCCCATCCTACTTTACTCAGCTCTACCTTAGTTCACCCTAGTTTACACTACCGTACAGTACATTACTCTAGAATTCCTTACTCTTTCCTAATCTACCCTGCCCTACCTTCGATTAAAAAGAAGAAAAAGAAAGTAATAGTACATACACACGTAAGATACCTTGTAGAAAAGCAAAGTAAAATCCCAACACTTGCAGTAATTTGTTGGGTCGTTTTACATCAAGGCAAACATGTCATAAAACCGTAATATTACATAAGAAAAAGTTGCTTAACATCATTCCTTGCAATTTCTCTTATATAGTTATAACATTATATAACGCTATATAGCAATATATTACGTAATACAATATAAGGTTTAACCAATAAGCCTAAACTTAGTTTAACAACAAGCCTACGCAAAAGACAAAACATAAGCAAAAAAGCTTAATCCTTAGTCCAAGCTGTAGCCTTAGCCTTAAAAGTAGCGTAATCTCAAGCTTAACAATGAGCCCTAAAGTAATAAAAAGCCTAGACCCAATATTGAGTTTAAACAAAACTTGCAAAGACAAACTTTTTTAATAGGTTTCATCCAAGTTGTAAACTATTTTTACAACTTGGGGCGAAAAAAACGTGTAATATAATAAAATCGAGAAGAACAAAGACTATCTGGCAGTATCTGCCCTTCCCTCTACTTGCTTCTCTTCCTCATGCGAGCATTAATAAAGCACATCCGTATCACTTGGTACTTTAGAAAAAAATCATGCGGCTCTATTAGCTATAGTATCAACTCAAGTTTTATCTTAAATTTTATCGCATACAGCGGAACTTATGCCTAACGAACTCCTCTATATCGAAAATTTCGAATAAAGAATCTATATTTTTCTATCCTACGCAAGTCTAACCTTGCCAGGCCCAGCCAGTCTTACCTTAGCGTACCCTGCCTTACAATACCCTGCGTTTCCTTACCCAAAATGCGTCATACAGGAACCCCACTGTATATACGTATAATACATACGAAAACACATAATAAAATTAAAAAAAAAGTTTTTTTTAGTTTAAAATTAGATTTTATAGGCTTGGCTGCTCTTTATCTTTCTTACTATTTTAGGTTGGTTTTTTTTGTTTTTGTTTAAATGTAAGCCTTTTTTCTAGTGAACACAGTAAGAATATCTTACTGTTTTTACTAGAATATATTATTAATATTACTGTAAAATAAGTAAGCTTATCGTTTGCTTAAGCATACATTAAATTTTTAAAAAAACTTTTAATTTATAAGCCTATTAAGCCTAAACTTCTGCAGTATGAACTTAATACTAAGACGAAGCTTACTAGGTTTAAATTTATTAAGGATAAGCTTTTTGCCTAAGTTTTCTAAACCGCAGCCTACGAAACCTAAGCCTACAGGGCCTTAGTTTACTCAACTTAAATTAAGTAAGCCTAAGCCTACTAAGCCGAAGCCTACTAAGTCTAAACCTACTAAACCTCAGCCTTCTAATCTAAGTCTAGTGAGCCTGAGCCTACTAAGCCTAAGGCTGTTAATTTTAAGCCTACTAAACCTAAGTCTACTAAGCCTAAACCTGCTCAGTTTAAGTTTACTAGGCCTAAAATTTTTAAGATAAAAAACTTTTAAACTGTAAAACGTGCCACTCTAGACTTTGTAATCTTTACTTGTTTTGCTTTGTAATATAATCAGTGGCTAAATTTGTGTAACGCGAGCTCTCCACTATATACGTATCAGTATAACATCACAAGCCATAGTAAACATCGAAATTCGAGCCAATAGTCTGATGGCAAATTAAACAAATTTAAACCAACATATTTAATACGTATTACAAACAAACATTTTTGAAATTTTCAAAATTTTTTAAAAATTTTACAAATTTTCAAAAAATTCAAAATTAAAAAATTTTTAAAGCTTTAAAATTTCAAAAAAATTTAAACTTGAACTTTTCGACTAATACCTATATTGTTTATAGCCTTTTTTTACTGTAGTAAATATTTAAAAAAGAATTGCTATCAACATATAATACAAATAAAGATGACAAGCCTTTCTGAATACTTTCATTAAGAACGCCTTTTTCATTTAAAAAAGTTTTTTATAAGATTGAATAAACATAAAACACGTTGGCCAGACGTTCTTTCACTACACAATTTTGCTTGCAATGACGTGAAGTGAAAAGAGAAGATAAGGTAGAGTAATAAAGAAAAGTAATCATAGGCTTAGAAAGTACAATTCTACAGTAACTTGAAAATTTTAAAGGTTAAGTATATGTAAAAGGTTGTTGAGTAGTGTAGCATCTATGGGTTATATTGCAATAGTATTGTCCTACCTTGGCCTTACTGTTTTTTCTTTGTTAGTCATTGCCACATCTTTAACCTACCCCTCGCCTTTATCCTACTCTTTGCCCTATGTGTTATAACTTGGTTTAGCTTGTTCTTACCTATACACTTTATTCTTTTTTTCTTAGCTCTGTCTTTATCGTAGTTTTGATTTACTATAGCCTTTTGTCGTACCCTTACCCTGTTCTTGCTCTACCTTTGTCCCACCTCTGCTTATCTTTTGTTCCGTCTTTGGTTTATCATGGCTTCTCTTTGTACTACTAATAGCACTTATAAAAACTTTTAGCTTACGCGTTCAAGTTTTAAATTTGCGTTATTTTGGTTTCCCGCTAAGTTGGCAGGTTTTGGCATTGTGTTTTAAGCACTTTTTTCGGCTTTCCAGACAAGATACGCTTACAAATTTAAAATTGTAGGTTCATTTAAAGGTATTTTACTAGTATATCGAAGAAAAATTTTTAAAGGTCAAAAACTGGAAATTTATAAGCTTGAAACACAATGCCAACTTGGCGGGAAACTTAAAACGTAATTTTTTGATCTTGGTTTTCTTGAGATTGACTGGAAAGCGCGATTTAGTACTTTGCGGAAGACTTTATATTTACGTGATCTTTCTATATAAAAAGTTTGAAATCAATCAGAGCAGGGCAAGTACTTTCCTTGTTAGTATACCTATCAAAATTAAAGTAGCTTTTATATAGTAAAATACGACTAGTGCTCTTTTTCTAAAAAATTTGTGTTAAATTAATATTATAGTCTTCTCTATTACTAACAACACAAAAGGACAATGCTATTGTTAAGTTTTACTGTATTTTTACAAAAATCAAAAAAAAAGAACTTTAAAACATTAAAAATTAACGGAAAATCAATTAAAAAAAGCATCAAAATGACAGCAAAACAACAACAAGGTCAAAAAATATTTTTGGATTTAAGAATGTTATTGTAATTATTCTTATTATGCCTCTGGGTAACATTAAACTTAAAAAAAATTTTTTAATTTTTTTAATGCGCCGCAGACATAAATAATGACATTATTTTTAGACATATGACAACACAAGCCTAAGTTTTGCAAAACAACATAACAGCAAAAAAGGTTACTGTAACTTAGAAAAACGGCTTCTGGGCTACTGTAATATAATAGAAAGGTTACTGTAACTTAAAGTAGTAAAGAACATAAAAATATCTTCTTTGCTTACTGTGTGGTGTTACTGTAGAATTTTTTAGAAATATGAAATTTAGGCTTAAATATATATAGTACAAAAGTTACAGTATAAAAGTAGTTAAAGTAAGTAACAATTACTGTAACCTGCAAAATGATTATTGATCGTAATGTAACCAGGAACTAGCTTATTATTATTACATTGTGAGGTATAAACACGTATGTTTTTCAAAAATATGTACATTGTTATTATGTTTGTTTTTTGTGCTTTAAGTATAATATAATTAGCTTAGGTAGACGACACATGCGTGCGAAACTTATTGTCATAATAACTGAGATTTACACGGTTTGAACGTAGAACGAAAAATGTCACGAGAAATGATAACATATAACAAAAGATTAAAAGATAATAAACGATCAGCCCTGATATTGCCTTGCCTTGCCTTGCCTTGCCTTGCCTTGCCTTGCCTTGCCTTGCCTTGCCTTGCCTTGCCTTGCTATGTCTTGCTTTTGACCTGTACCAGTCTACGTTGAAATCTACTCTTACCATGCTCTCAAACCTACTCTTACCTTTACTCCCAAGTTACCTTTACCATACTCTTTATTCTACCCTTTCCAGCCCTTTTCTGCCTTGCCCAGTCGTGCACAGCTGTGTTTTAGCTACCTTACCCTACCCTACTTTAACCTGAGCTGCTCTACCTCTTAGTTTCCTTTACTTTTCTATAATATTTCTTACCTTTGCTTTTACTTTTATCCCATCCTACCCTTCCCTGACCTATCTTACTCTACCCTAATTAAGAATGTCTTGCTTTGCCTTGCTTTCAAACCTACTATTTTTAATTAAATTTAATCCTACTTTTAAGCCTATTTTTTATCTTACGTCATTTATTTTATAGAGCCATACAATCATACCTACAATCTATACCCCTGCCTTTTTGAAAATTAAAAAAATTGTAAAAAATTGTAAAAAATTTTAACATTAAAAAAAAATTTAAATTAAGCAAAAATTTTAAAATTAAAAATGCAAGTTTTTCTGCTTTGTATTTCTTTCCACATATCCTGGAGTAATTTTGCTTTCAACGGATGTAAAGCATGGTTAAAATGTTTGTCAGGAAGTTGAGGCAATTTTAAATCTTGCAGTAATTATTCATTATTTACCATGGTAAAAATAGAGACTAAAGCAAAATAAAATTGCAAAAAAGTTTTTTGTAAAATACGATCTGTAACTTTGTATGAAAACAAAGTAACTTATGAATGTTCAAATTACAGTAGTCTAACAATATAAAATGACATTTTTCAGCTAACATCAATCTTCTTGTCGCTAGTCGTGTTCTGGATTGAAGATGTATCACAAGCAGCCATTGTATCCCTATTTGCCATTTTTGTTCACTGCTTTGCTGGATGGTGCATGATTAAACAAATACCTCCTGGAAATGGCACCATGCCTCATATTTGTAAGTTAGTCTTACCCAAGGTCCTAGCCCAAAGGCTTAGCTCAGAGCCCTAGCTCAAAGCCCTAGTCCAGAGCCCTAACCCAGAGCTCCCTAGCCTCAAGCCTAATCACATGCTTGATCTTAGACCTAGCTTCAAACTGAAGGTCTAGCATTAAACATAGCCGCAGACCTTGCCTCAAGCTCCAGTCATAGCCTAATAAGACTTAACTTTAGTCCTAAACTAAGCTCCAGCTCAAAGTTCAAAGCTCTAGCCTTATGCCTAGCCTCAAGTTTAGCCTCACATCGAGCCTAAGCTCTAGTCTACCCTTCAGTTCTAGCCTTAGCCTTAGTTCTAGCCTTACCTCTAGTCCAAGCAAAATCTTTAATTTAAGCCCTACCTCTAGCTTTTTTAAAACTTTACCTACTTACAACTTTTTATTTACAGTAACCTTCTACGCAGTGATGTTCTTTTGGAATTGTTTTATCTTCTTCTTCCACGCTACCTTGTCATACCTAAGGGAAGTTCTGCCAGATGATATTGAGTTTCCCTTCAAATTGACGAACTGGAGTGACTATCTACGACAATGGAAAGTTTTCAATACTGAAGGGTTCTCCTTTGATCCTCAAACGTAAGTTATTATCGATAACACTATATTTCAAAAATGAAAAATTTGTTACTTAAAATAATAAAAATTTGTTATCCATATCACAATCTTTTCGAAATGTAAATTTTGTTACCTAAACTTGACAATTTGTTACCTAGACCACTATTTTCAGCTTCATGTTATCCCCAGAGAAGCGTTCAGAGAGCATCACAACCCAGAATCTGGTCGAAAACGAGGTTCTAAACCCCTCAAGCGGAATTGAAAATGCACTATTCGAAATGGACTCAATAGAACCATCAACCAGTGCAGATGTCACTCCTACATACAGTTTGGCCGAGACAGTGTCAGTCGACAATCGTGCTTCTTACATTGATATACCATCGGAAAGTGGTCGTAGTGTGGCTAGTGATAAGAGTGACAAGAAGACTAAAAGTCATCTGGAAGAAGAGTTGTACACGTTGAGAAGAGCATCATTCTTCGTGTTTGCTATGTTTGCTGTCATCATGGTCTTTGTGTACTTGTTTTAATATATAGTATACTATGTACTTTTATATTTATTTAAAATTTTTTAAATTAATAAACTGTTCGAACTTTGGTATTATAAAAAGCCAAGAAGAGAGCTAAAGCGAGGCTAAAATAGGACTTGAAGATTGGCTTGGACTAGCTTTCAAATGTTTGAGAAAACGTAGAGTTAGGGTATAGCTATTTATAAAGCTAAGACGGAGTTATGGCTAAGAGTACAAATCAGGCTCAAGCTCTGAATTAGGCTCCGGCTTAGATTTAGACTTAGGTTTGAACTCAGGCTCATGCTCAAGCTCAACTTCAGGCTTATGCTTAGGGCCGGGCCCAAGCTCAGGCTTAGGTACAGATTCAAGCTCTATTTTAGAGTCAAGATCACGCTCAAGCTCAGACTTAGGTTTAGACTTAAACTCAATCTCAAGCTTAACCTTAGGCTTTAGCTTAGACTAAGGCGTAGACTCAAGCTCTGAAGTTTAGCTTATGCGCAAACTCAGACTAATGGTCAGGTTTAGGCTCAAGCACAGGCTCAGGCTCAGGCTCAGGCACAGGCACAGGCCCAGGCTCAAGCTCAGGCACAGGCACAAGCTCAGGTTTAAGTTTAAGTTTAAGCTCAGGATTAGGCACAGGCTCATCCTCAGGCTCAAGCTCAGGCTCAAAGTCTAGCTCTAACTTAAGTATAAGCTCAATCTCAAGCTTATAGTCAAGCTTAAGCTTCCCCACATGCTCAAACTTAACCTTACCTTCTTGCTAAATTTTGAGCTTGAGCCTTCGCTTAAAGCTAAGATTAAAATTAGGTTAAAGCTCTGTAACTTTGATTCAGACTTGTAAACTTATATCTTCTACTGCACTCTACTATCTTATTATTACAATAAATCAAGTTCAATGTCAAAAAAAATTAAGAAAGCCTTATCACCAAATCATCATTACAAAAATGCACTACTTTATCCAAAAACTTACTAAAAAAACAATGTTGTAACACAACAGTCATATGGATTTCATACTTTAAATTTCTCAAACTCTGAATAACAAAAGAAGTTCTCGAAGCCGATAATCGCTCTTCTTCAATTAATTTTCAAAGAAACGTCCTTATCAGCCCTCCGGCGATAAGAAAAAAGACGTCTCGTCTTCCATTTCGATCTGGGTGCACCGAGCAAAAAAGTGGCCTAAAATGCGAGGCACGACTTTGGTGCTGCTGGTGCTGTGTGCGTTGGTTGTTGAGGTAGGCTTTAAGGTTTAAATTTTAATTTTTTTTTAAATTTGAAGTTTTTATTAGCTTTTGCTTATTAAACAAGGCATTCGGATCTCAAGAGGAGATCCTACAGGTACAAAGCTACAATACGATAACAAGCCCACTATATAAGGTTATAATATTTACCTTCCTCAATACATTCAACAATATAATAAATATAAACCGATAGCGATAAGATCCAGGTATAAAGTATGTGACGTCCTTCGGACGTCCCAACTGTCCTGAGCCTGCTGACCAACTACTCGACTGTAAACTCGACCGTCCTGTTGCTTCACCGTCCTTCCCTTTTATCGTGCTGTCCACGTACGTGGTGCGGAATGCCAAGCGCTGTTCGTTGTCGTTGCGGGACCCAAAGGGTGCGCTCGTGCTAGGTCCAACTAGGCTTATCTTTCTTCTATTTGATTTCTAGCCTTAGAGCTAGCTCTAGGCTAGAGCTAACTTACGTCTGGGTTTTGTAGCCTGCCTTCAACTCAAGAAGTTATGTATAATATTAAGCTGACAAGGAAAGTACCCAAATTGCAACTCTCAGAGTTAGCTCAATATTTTTATACAAATTCTTTGTAAAAAATCTTAGCTTGCGGTTTTAAGTTTTAAAATTTTTATATTTAAATTTTCCGGCAATTTGACAAATTTGGCATTGTGTTGCAAGCACTTTTTTTGATGTTTCAGATAAAATAGGCTTACAAATTTAAAATTGCAGGTTTATTTGAAGCTTTTCTATCATTATATTAAAGAAAAATAGCTAAAACTCAAAAAATGACAAAGTTACGAGCTTGAAGCGCTATGCCAACTGGGTGAGAATTTTAAAACGTAATCTTTTAATCTTTATATTTGTCGAGGTTTCCTGGAAAGCGCAATTTGGTAATTTAGTGAAAATTTGTATTTACATAATCTTTCTGTATAAAAAGTTTAAAGTCAGTGAGAGCGGGGCAGGTCGGGCACTTTCCTTGTATAACAGAAATATAGAACAAAAAGCGTGACGGGTTCTTTAGGTTGGCACCTAATATAAAGCTGAAAATAAGTCTAAAGTTAAGACAAACTACGACTAAAGCTAAGGCTAAAAAAGGCTGACTAAAGATAAAGCTAGGCTAAAGCTCAAGGTAAAGCTCACCGCTCTGGTGTTTGCCAATTTAAAAAAATGAATTAATTTTGATTTTGAACAAATTAGATCAAGTTCTTTGCTTACATGCTTAATTTTTATTTCTTTGTAATAACTTCAATTTTTAAATTTTAAAAAATGTAGTTTATAAGAGCTGTATTTTGCTTTTTTAAACATGGAAGACGTATTTTACTTTTCCTCTTTAGCCAATTACTTTGAGGTATTAAAAATAATACTATGGTATGCTGGTATCTGAAATAAAAAAGTGCTAATAATGTTAAAGAATGTCTTTATCATTTTGTCTTGTAAAAAAAACATTTTTTTTTTGAAAAATATCAAACGTCAGCTTTTTTTCTGTTTACTAAGCCTAAAGGTCAATATGCTTTTTTCCTACCTTTAGCCTAAGCTTAGTTAGGCTACCCTAACCTTACCCTAATCCTAGCCTTATTTAGTCCTTGTTCTGGTCATACTCTAGTTGTGCTTTCTCTACCTTTACCCTAGTCATAGTTTAGCCTTACTCTACTCTTATTCTAGTCTTACTCTAACCGTAGCATAGCCTCTATTTTAACCTTATGCTAGCTCAGTCTTAGCATCAGGTTATTAGTTTTTTAGCCTGGCTATAGTCTTCTTATCTTTATCTATTTACGTTGGCCTATGTTTTAATATAGACTTTCATTTTCAGGCCAGAAGACACAAAACTCAACGTCGCTACCGCATTGATTCTGATGAGCTTGACAATTTGGACAAGATTGAAGCTCCAGTTTTCAGTAGCGAAGACGAAGACGATACAGTAGAAGAAGAAGTTATCCAGCACGCTAGGCCAGTAGTACAACCAGTCAATATTCAATACCGTAGTAACTATCACCATGATAAAGCTTCACAATCTTCTGGAAGTTCAGTAAGAGATGTAAATCATCCAGACGCCTCTTTTGAAAATTCTGAAGAAGTTACCGTACCCAAGTACAATGCTAAGAAGAATACGGTAGTTAGGGAATCCAAGTATTTGAAGACTCAGTGCTACAAGAAGACCGAGAACTTTGTAGAACAAAAGACGTATCCAAGATCTTGGGAACACGCTGGATTTGAAGCTACGTTACCTTTCGAATGGGACTGGAGAAATGTAAATGGTGTCAACTACTGTAGTCCAAACAGGAATCAACACATTCCAGTTTACTGTGGATCTTGTTGGGTGTTTGGTACTTTAGGTAAGAATTATTTTCCTATCTTTAGCTCTAGCCCAGAGATCTAGCTCAGAGCCCTAGCTCAAAGCCCTAGCCCAGATCCCTAGCCTAAAGCCCTAGCCCAAAGCCTTAGCCCAGAACCCTAGCCGTGAACGCTAGCCCAGAGCCTTAGATTAGAGCCCTTTCCTAGACCTTTTACATTTTTGTGTTTAAAAGGCACAGAATTATTTGAACAACCCAATGAGTCACAACCTTTTAAAATCACAAGGGTTTATTTTGTCACCGTATTTTACCATTATAAGTTTTTTCAAAAAATTTTAAAATTTCAAATTAAAATTCAAAACATTTCAAAATTTTAATTTCAAAATTTTTTTACAAAATTTAAATATAAAAACCATTTAGGAGCCCTAAACGATCGCTTCAACGTAGCCCGCAAGAACCAATGGCCAATGACAAACCTGTCACCACAAGAGATCATCGACTGTAATGGCAAAGGAAGTTGTAACGGCGGAGAAGTCTATGACGTCTTCAACCACGCCAAGGTCCAAGGACTGGTCGAGGAAGGCTGTAATAACTACAAGGCTGTCAATGGAAGTGGGTTAATATGCAAAAACTTTGTTTACAGTTTTTTTTAGTTTTTAAGGTTTTTACAAGTCTTGTCGTTACTTTTTGTTGATTTTAGCGAAGAAAAACGACAGAACTTTCTTAAAACTGAATTTTTAAAATAAATTTTGAAAAAAAAATTTTTTTTAAAATAAAATTTTTTTTTCAGAATGCGACCCCTTTCACCGTTGCGGCACTTGCTGGCCTGAACATTGTGACCCAGTACAAAACTACACCAAGTACTATGTAAAGGAGTACGGTAAAGTGAATGGCCGTGCCAATATGATGGCTGAGATCCACAACAGAGGACCAATTGCATGTTCGATTGGTGCTACACCCAACTTTGAATTCAACTACTTTGGTGGAATCTACAATGAGTACAGCGATTTACCGGTAAGGGTGGTTTACTGTAGCTTACGGTAACGTAACTTACAATACTTCGTTATACTCTACCTTGTTCTATTGTACTCTACTTTACTTCACTTTACGCCTACCCTACCCTACCCTACCCTACCCTACCCTACCCTACCCTACCCTACCCTACCCTACCCTACCCTACCCTACCCTACCCTACCCTACCCTACCCTACCCTACCCTACCCTACCCTACCCTACCCTACCCTACCCTACCCTACCCTACCCTACTCTACTCTACCCTACCCTACGCTACGCTACCCTACTCTACTCTACCCTACCCTACCCTGCTCTACCTTACCCTACCCTACCCTGCTCTACCTTATCCTACAGTATTCAACCTAATCCTACCGTACCCGATGCTATCCTACTTTACTCTACCTTGTCCTATTCAATCATACCGTAACCATACTATAATACCCCTTCATTTACAGAGTAACCACATTGTCTCCGTAACCGGCTGGGGCTATGACAATGCCACAAAGACCGAGTACTGGATAGTACGAAACTCATGGGGAGATGCCTTTGGAGAAACCGGCTGGTTCCGAGTCGTGACTTCTGTCTTCATGAACGGCCGCGGAGACTTGTACAACATGGGCATCGAACGAGACTGCTACTGGGCTGATCCTGATGTTAGTAACCTCCATTTTTAAAAAATTTGAATTTTTTGTTATTTAGGTGATAAATTCGGATTTTTTGTTGAAATTTTAAATTTTTATGGTTAAAATGTTTCCTTTTAGGTAATAATAAATTTTTTAAAACTTATTGGAACGGTAGACCTGAAGATTTTTTTTGAATTTTTGATGGTTGATAAAAGCCGATAAATTTTGTGACATTTCGTTTACATCTCAAGATTCGTGGCTTTTCGTTCATCTTTGATAGAAACGAGCAACGGCCGGGCTTGAACAAAATAAAAAGCGGGTCGATACTAACAATTGTAAGATTTTTCTGATTAGGCCAGGCTTCAGCAAAAGGAAAGACTAGCTCGGCCTAAAATATGGACATAGCCCCGACCGGGCTTTTCAACTTTGCCCCACCTGTCGCTCAGTTATACCATCGAGATGGTTTTTACTATTATTATTTGTATTTGCTTGTCTAATTTCGCACTAGCTTGTCCAATTTCAGCATGAAAAATGGAATATCAACAAGTTGACCATCTTTACGCCCGGTTTTTGATTTTGTTAAGGATGTTGTTATTATTTTTTATTTTTTAGGTATAAAGTTCACGTTAGAAGACTTGAAAATCTTATTCAGAAGCTTTCTAAGAATGCTGTTGTGGTATAATGATACGTTTTAATTGGTTGATTTGGAAAATTTTGGAACATTGATGAGATTTTATATTGTTATAGATGGTAAGAACAATACTTTTTGTTTTCTCTATTTTAGGTATGAAATTGAGGTTGAACTTGGTCAAGGAGTATTTTGAACTGTTAAGCAGAATATTTTGAATGTATAATAACGAACGTTGATTGATTAAGTGGAAGAATTTTAGCATAACGAGCAGGTTTTATATTATCATAGACGATAAGAAATATATTGTATGTTTTTTCATTTTAGGTATGAAACCAGGGTTGATGTTGGACAAGAGGTGTTTTGAAACGTTAAGAAGATTGTTATAGAGGTATAAAAGCAATTTTTCTTAGTTTAGATTCAATAGCTTTTGAGCGACGCTGAAATTCGATGTTAACATAGCTAATTAACGGTCGTTTGGTCGATTTGAACCTAAAAACTGGTTGATAAAGCAATTTTTTTATGGAAAACACAAAATTATTATTTAAAAGCTAAATCTTTGTGTAATTAAACAGATATTCCCTTATATTATCGTGTGTTTTGATTCTCAAAAGCCATAATTATTCAAAAAAGGCACATAAATGACTAGGAATAGGTATGGCTCATTCATAAGCTGGTTTTAATGACTTGGCTAGAGTATAAGCTGGTCGTTAACTAAGCCTAATCCAACTGTTTTTCTTTTTACTTTAAAGAAGTGTCAATTCTCGATAAAAAATGTTTGAAATTCACTCAAAATTCACTAAATAATACATCCATACATAAGCCTACCTTAATATCATTGTTTTGCCGGAATAATGCGCCAAAAATTTTATATTTTAAAAACAAGCCTCAAAATTTCAAAAATGCAAATCTGGCCAAGTTTTTTCGATTATGACGTGAAATGTCATAAATTATTCAGATAATCCGAAAGTCTTTCGAATTTAGTGGGAAAAGTGGAAAAGCCTTTCCCATGATGATATTATAGTATGTATGTGGGCTTATGGGTAACAATACTGTAGCCGGCATATTGAATTTCATTGTATGAAAGTTGTTTTGAAGTTGAGGAAAGGTTAGGGGTTATTTTTGGAGTTTAAAGGATATTATGGTAGGTATGGATGGGGCTTTAATGATCAATCAAATTTTAAATTTATGCAAAATAATTTTTTTTTAATTTGTAATGTAAAACCATAAAAATGGCAATAATTTTCTTTACAAAACAAAAAATTGCAAAAGCTTTCATTAGAAAACAAAACTTATTTTTCATCGTATAACTTGTCACTCGCAGACTGCCAAGCCGTAAAATGGCTTGTTTTGATGCACTTAGCAAGAACTTTCTTTACAAAACAAAAATGGCAAGAACTTTCTTTACAAAGCGAAAAATGGCAAGAACTTTCTTTACAAAGCGAAAAATGGCAAGAACTTTCTTTACAAAACAAAAAATGGCAAGAGCGTTTATTTTACCTCAAAAAATGCTTTACATCGTATAACTTGTCACTCGCAGACTGCCAAGCCGTAAAATGGCTTGTTTTGATGCAATTAGCAAGAACTTTCTTTACAAAACAAAAATGGCTAGAACTTTCTTTACAAAGCGAAAGATGGCAAGAACTTTCTTTACAAAACAAAAAATGGCAAAAGCGTTTATTTTACTTCAAAAAATTCTTTACATCGTATAACTTGTCACCCGCAGCCTGCAAAACAGTAAAATATAATTTTTTAAATGCAACTTCTTTCTTCGAACTTATTTTCAGACTAATTTCCATAAATTTCCGAACTTTTTCAAATTAGGAAATGCGTGGAGTTTAATGCGGCATAACCCACTCCAAATTTCATTGAATTACCACATTTGGCTTTTTAATTAGACTTTTGACGCGAATTCAAGAAACGAATGCTTAGTTTTTACAGTAATGAGTACTGTACTTTAGGATGGATACGTATTGGAAGGTCCTATATAGATTTAGATTCCATCTTTAGCCTTAAACCTAGATTCAAGTTTGAACTCTAGCCAACTCTATAACCTTAGCCTAAGTTCTAGCCAAAGACCTAACCTAAGGCCTAGCCTAAGCCCTAGCATAAACACTAGCCTAAGCTCTAGCTTAATCCATATTCTGAGCCCTAGTCTAAGCCCTAGCTTTAGCCCTAGACCATGCCCTAGCCTAACATAAAGCGTTCAGTTACTTAACCGATTAGCAATGTTTTTGTTTGCTAACAAATGTAATATAATATTACTCTAAACACTCATTGTCTTTGCAAACACAAATTTGACATCATTTCACAATTTTACATCTTAGTCACACTTGTGTTTACTTTGTAACTTTTTTTGTTTCGAAGTTGTCAAATCCGTGTTAAAAAAGGGATCGAAACATCGTGGGGGATTTCTAATCCTTTTACAAATCTTGACAATGCTTTATCATAACAAAGAGATTAGTTTCAGGTAATTTTACACAAAATTCAATGGTTTAAACTAGTTTTTTCCATTTTTCAGTTTGTAAAGAGGTTTTTGGGCATTGGAAGAAAAGTTTTTGCCATATTTTGGTTTGTAAAGAAAGTTCTTGCCATTTGTCGTTTTGTAAAAAAAGTTCTTGCCATTTTTTGTTTTGTGAGGAAAGTTTATGCCTTTTTTATAGAAAAAAACAGTTAACAGCTTTGCAGGCTGCGGGTGACATGTTATATGACGAAAAGCATTTTTGTATTCTAAAGCAAGTTCTTGCCATTTCATGTCTTGTAAAGAAAGTTCTTGCCATTTTTTTGTTTTGTAAAGAAAGTTTTTGCCATTTTTTGTTTTGTAAACAAAGTTCTTGCTATTTTTTTATCTAGCCATGCTTTTTTAAGATTGAGCTGGCTGCGGGTGACAATTTATACGAGAAAAACCATTTTTTGTTCTGTAAACAAAGTTCTTGTCATTTTTTAATTTGTAAAGAAAGTTATTGCCATTTTACTTTATTTGCAGAAACTTACAGTAATTTATATCCTACTAAAATTTATGCAAAATTCGAAAAAACTCTAAATTACTGTAACTTATTTACGTCTCTTTCTTATTATGCCATAAGCAAGAAATTAATAAGCGATTAATGCGTAATTTCGAAAAATAGTCGGTAAGCTAATTAAAATGTCAAACTCGGTAATTAAAAAATAGTTGAAAACATAGCCGTCACGCTATGAATAACATCGTGCAAAATGACTTCAGAATTCGTTTTTTATTCATGACTTTATGCTTTTTTCATCTTTTTTTTTAAATTGTGGGAAAATGGTATGAACAATGGTTTGGAGTATATTTTGAGGGTGACAGTAAATAAAAAATAATGAATTTTCAAAGAAATTGTGAAAAAATAACAATAACTTTCTTTACAAAACAAAAAATAGGAAGAACTTTCTTTACAAGGCAAACAATAGCAATTTTTTTTACAAAATAAAAAGTGACAAGAACTTTCTTTACAGAAGAAGAACATATTTTATTTATCGTATAATTTGTCAGCCGCAGACTGCAACTTCATAAACTGATTTGTTTTGATAGAAAATGCAAGGACTTTCTTTACAAAACAGAAAACGGCAAGAACTTTATTTACAACACATAAAATAACAAAAACTTTCTTTACAATTTAAATTTCTTTGAATTTTTTTATTTTGAAATTTTCAAAAAGATTTAAAATTGCAACATTTTCCCTATTTTTTCATTTTGCCATTTTCAAAAACACTATTGTTAATCGTCTTCTCTACTCTCTCTTCTTCCCATTATTCCTAACTTCCCTTTGACTTTTTTCAAATTATAACAAAAGTGGGCGTGGCTTGGCCGTTGGCGAAGAGTCCAAAAATGGAAAAACTTTTAAATTTTCACTTATTTTTGCGACACAGCATACGATGCGTTGTCTGACCGTCCTCTGGTTTATGGCATTACTGGTGGCTGTTACAAACGCGCGATTCTACAAAACTCGTAGGTTTTAAAATTTAAAATTTTTTAAAATTTTTTAATTTTTTTGGATGTTTTGAATTTTTTTTTGAAATTTTTTTTGGGTTTTGTGATTTTTGATGACTTGTCAACAAATTTTGTGTTTTTTTGCACCTAGCTTCACATTATATTTGGTTTTGCAATCTAGTGAGAAGGTAAACGATGAAACGTGTCTTGGCTTTACAAATATTGTTTGAGGGCTTTGTAAAGAAAGTTCTTGCCATTTTTCAATTTTTAAATTAAATTCTTGCCATTTTTTATTTTGTAAAGAATGTTTGTGCCATTCATATCAAAACCAAAAATTTTACGGTTTGGCAGCCTGCGGTTGACAAGTTATACTACAAAAAACATTTTTCGTTTTGTAAAGAAAGTTATTGCCATTTTGAATTTTTTAAAGAAAGTTCTTGCTATTTTAATAAAAAAGTAAATTTCTTATAATAA